AGGTTTGGAAAACAGCCTTTATTGCATAAGACATTTAAATGGTCCTGTGATGCTAGACAGAGCGCTGGTTCCTTCGTCTTCCCTCACATCATCAGCATCCTGTATGCTACTCTCCCCAGGGTCCTCCTGTCTTCTCCCTCTCCCAAGAGAAGGCAACACCATCTTCCGGGATCTTCTGGCTCACGAATCTCAGTGGTTCTTGTCCTTTGGAGAATGGAACACACAGCCTGGGCACTGGCTCCAAGGTCGCTTTGGGCTGAGGTCTTCCTGCGGGAACCGCTCGTCCTCCTTCTCCTTTTCCTCCTCCTTTTTTTTTTTTAGAGAGAGAGAAGCCAATAAACATTTTTTTTTTTTTTTTTTAGGATTCTACTTTATTTATTTGACAGACAGAGATCACAAGTAGGGGGAGAGGCAGGCAGAGAGAGAGGAGGAAGAAGGGTCCCTGCAGAGCAGAGAGCCCTATGCGGGGCTCGATCCCAAGACCCTGGGAACATGACCGGAGCCAAAGGCAGAGGCTTTAACCCACTGAGAAAAAAAAAAAAAAAAACATTTTTTTGTTTTATATAAAAAAATACTTAGAATGATTTTTACCTACTAAAATAATCACAATCTTATGAAGTTGTTAGAGTCAGCTTTTAGTATATTTGCATAGGCTTTCATTTTGAATAAAGCAGAGTGCTTATTTTTTCCCTAAACTGGTGATTTACTTGAGATTTCACTGTATTAAAGAATGATCTCGGTCTTTTTTTTCAGGGCAGCATCTCAGACATGTTGAAAAGGATGTTTTGATCCCTAAAATAATGAGAGAAAAAGCCCGAGAGAGATGTTCTGAACAAGTTCAAGGTAAGATTCAAATATTCATATAAAGATCAAATACATTTTTTATAATATGATCTGAATTTAATCCTTAGCCTCAGAGTCAAGTAGTCAGTGAATTAATATGTATGAATTGCTTCTCACCCTTTCACGGAGATACCACTATTTCAGCTTTCAGAACTTCCAGACGGTGTTCAATTCATTTACAATTTAAAAATATTCTCCCAAATTACTAGTAAAAAAAATTTTTTTCCCAGGAGTACAATTACATATATAGAGAAACTTGGTTATTATTATTTTAGAGAAACAAGTTATTCTGGTGATTTCGATAGGGAAAGAAGAAACCTCAAATGTAATATGTACCTGTTTTTTCTTTATCAGCATATAATTATATATTCTAAGATGATTTTCTTTGGTGCCATTGTCTATTACTGAATTGTTAATGGAATCTCAGTAGTACTTACATTGAGTCTTTTTATTTACTTTTCTATATCTTACATTCTTAAATGGATGATATTTATGTAAATGAATGCATTAGGCACCCACATATGTATGTTTTCTTTAGAACATGTTTCTTAACGTAGGATACTCCTGTATTCTGTACATCTAGAGACATGCTGTTGATTAATATATAAAATTTAGTGAAAACATGTAAACAAAGCAGTGGAAGGTGAAAACTGAGGCCATAGATGGGGGGTCATTAGAAAAGCAGATGACAGTATTACTGTAGAAACAAACGTCTTTTTAAACAAATCTATCTCCTGAAATGGCCATCTAAAAGAAGTAGTAGTAAAATTTTTGCTGATGTACACCATTTTCCTGGCTCCCCTTCTTCACTTTTCCCTGTAGTCTTCTTCCTTGAGGGACTTCAGTGATTCTTTGTGAGGATGATGGCCTGTGATTCCCATCAGCAAGTTTCTCTATAGGGAGCCAGGCTGTGTCATCTGTAGTTTTGGGACTGTGTCAGTAATGTTTGGATGCTGGGAACATTTCTGTCCCTCTGATGCTGTTCTTTGAGAATGACCTTTGAAATCCTTGGATTGAAGTGATAAAAGAAGAGTAATTCTCACAGTGGACATTGTGTGGTGGTCATTTCTGTTTCTTAGATGACTTATTGTGATCTATTCCAGTTTCAAATCCATTCATAAGATTTAAGTTAAATCCATCCATAAATAACGTTATCAATAATTACTTAGTCTATGATACTAGTTTTGCTTTCACTGTGAATTAGTTGTTTAATCAGAGCACCTTCCTTGCACTCACACCCCCAGGTATCAGGAGTAACTAACCCATTGCCACCTGCAGGCAGGGTTCACTGCAAAGCTAGAATTGGCAGGTGTCATGCGGATAGTCTGGAGATAATTCTCCACTTGCCTCAGAACTTTAAGTAAATAAATATATGTGTGTGTATATATATATGTGTGTATATATACACACACACAAACACATATATATTTATATATATATATAAAATCTCCTGACCCAGGTGAGGGAGAATAAAAATTAACAATGTGTAATGGAATTATAGGGCTAAATTTTTACTACCAGGAAGATTTACTTGCTCCTGATATATTGGTTCAAAGTTATAAATATGAGTTGTATTTATTCTGTTTTTAACACATTATTCTGATATCTAGAATGAAAAAAGCTAGCTAACTCAATTACAGATTGAGTTTTTACTCACATGATACAGATGAAAATGCAGAAGAATTGGGTTTGGGTTTCAGAACTGCCTTTGCTAACTCATAAAATGAAACTGTTTTTGGTTTTTTTAAAAAACAAAAGAAATAGAGTATAACAAAATATAAGTTTGTGTTGCCCAACTATCCTATAACGAGTGGTATAGAAAAAATGTTTATTTTTTGCTTTATCAAAAGTTAAGTTGTTTTTAGGATGTTGACTTGGTTAAGTCTTTCTTAAAATATACTTAAAATCTTCTAAAGACTGAAAGCATCTTAAAATTTGAGATCTGCTTGGGTTTTTTCAATGCATTTGTCCGTGTTAGAACATGGTGTAACAATTGATTTTTGAATATTTGAATCTTTTATAGATAATCATATATTGATTTTTTTTTTTTTAGGCCATATGGTCTAAAACTGTTATAGAATCTAAAATTATTTTATAAAACAATACTCTTTAGTATTCTTGCTTAACCATGTGGTTTAGTCAAGAACATACATTGGTGTTCAGCAGCAGAAGAGCTATATTTGAACTGAACAATAAGATGTAATTTAGAATCAGGACACTCACCTTGTAGTTTATTTACTATTTACAGCCTTTGCTTTATTAAATAATTGTAGGATTTTTATATAAAAGCATTGTGTGTGCTCACTGTATAGTTTTTCGATAAAGATACAGGAATTTTAATAAGTGATCTGACTCTCTGCTAAATGCCTTAAACCTGATTATGTAGGAAAGCTTTTCTGTTTGATTTTTTGCATGTCATTTCATCCCAGCTGATCATAAGAACTGGGTCAGACTGCCAGCAACTTAGGTTTGTGAAGGGAATGGAACAGCTTTTGCAGGGACAAAGAGAAATGAAATCACTTTCAATGAAAGAAGGATGCCTCATTATAGTCACCAACAGCAGTTATTGACAGCTACACTTCCTATTAACAAGGAGCATTTAACTAAGAGTTTGGCTGTTGGATCTTTGGACTTGATCTAATTTGCTAGCATTAATTAGTTTCTTTTGAGCACAGACACTTGGTGCTCACAGCTATAGATTTGGAGGGCTAATTAGGATAGAAAATTGAACAGAATGGGGTAAGGCATTAACCTTCAACCATTACCAGCTGGGACACTGATAAAGACCAGAGTCCAAATGCTCCCTATTGATGTGAAGAGTACCCTAATGAATATCAATTTCAGCCAGGTTGCTATATTCTTACTAGTTCTCTCTCCATTATAATTTTTAACCAGTTTCCACGATACCTTCATTATCTGTATATACACTATTGGATTTTACTCTACACTGATTTAGTCTGAGTTGCACACTTCATCTTATGTTGAAACACAATTAAGATTTGTCTTAAGTAGCTGATAACATTTAGAATGTTTCATTTTTACATGCCTTAATGCTTCTAAAACTCTATTTTTATTTACAATTCATGATTCTTATTCTACAGTGAATGTTTATAAAGTCACAATAACTGTCATTTCAAGTAATGAAAACTATAACCAGAAACAAGAAATTCTCAGCTTCTGGGTAACAAGTAAGCAGTATTTGTATTAAACTGGTGTCAACTTGATAATCTTTGTCTTTATAAAGTATGCTTTTTTGCATTTTGTTTTTTTTTATATAGAAAAATAGTACCCATTACCTTTTCTTTTGGAATTTAACCTTGATTTGATGAGTAAAGGTGGCTTGACTTAGAGATTAGATACAGAACTGAGAATGCTGATCTTGTTATTATGTACACTCAGATAAGATTAACTGTTGGTAGAGTATACATCAACAGAAAAGCAAGTGATCAATTGGTTGAGATAGAAAACTAAACTTTACAGTATTCTTTTGCCAGTGATACTGGCAGTGAATAGAGCCACTAAAATTACCAGTGTATTTTTAGATATTAACACAATGAACACTGACATTGTTGGGAACGAAACTGAAGGAAAATTCTAGAATGTCATGGCTCTCTCCAGGTCTCCCATTTTCTAAAAGCCAAAACAGAAATTCTCTTTCATCAAGTGTGATGGTGGAATCATTGCTTTTCTTGGATCTGGGAGTTACCAGCTTGTGTTTTAGGAAGACGGTTTGATGACCTCTGGAGGTTACTTTTCATTCTGTGACTTTTTCCATGTGTTCGACTCTTTGCTAATTTATATTTTCTGTGTTAGTAATATTGTGTCACCTATACTGTATGTTGTGTGTGTGTATGTGTGTGTGTATAGTTTGTCATATATACATTATATAGAATATACACATATGTAAACTATGCATTCTTGTGTTACAGTTTGTCTTCTGGAGATAGTCCATGAGAGGAAGAATCACTGAATTGCTGCTTTGTAAAAATTCATTATATTTTGTTGCTTTTTCTGAATTGCATAGTTGGCATTTGATATAAAGCTTCCACATTGAATAACGAAATTAACTTTAAAAATAACTTTTTTTTCTTCTTGCTATGACACATCAAGACCAAAGAAGTACTGTCATCAGGGATGGCCTGGAGCTCTCTTTAACCTAGATGTATCTACTGCTCACTAACTCCTTTTTTTTTTTTTTTTTTTTTTTTTAATCTTATTTTAATGTTTCTTTTGTATAATGTCTTCTGCAGTCTGTTTTGATCTTTTGCCCAATAAGTGGTAACAGTTAGTTCTAAAGAAATTCTGTAAACCATAAGGAAGCACGGATTCTTCATTTCTTTGAGACCTTGCAGAGCTGTAGTAAACAAAATATCTGTCGTCTTCTGTCAGTCACATGTAATGAAATATGTTATATTTTATAAATTCCAAGGATAATATGAACTGACAGGAAAAAATGAAATTAAGAATGCTTTGGATATTCTTTAGGATGTTTATAGGTGGAAAACTATCAAAACTTTATTAAAACAAACTGGAGGGCCGAAGACTGCACATGGTCAAAGAAATCCATCTTTTATCCAACTGTGTTACTTGAACCTGCCAAAAATTTGCCCTTTGTTGTTTGAATGGTGCTGTTACCACCACATATATTTTTGCTATTGAACAGTTCATCAGTGTTAACTAACACTTAGGAGGGTCAAATATATAAAATCACCAAGTGTGATGCATATTGTTAAAAGAGTATGTTACATACACTAAGAAATACAGAGAGATTGAAAGTGCATTTCTTCTTTGGATCTGCACTGGACTCATCGTGTATTTACACTCATGGCTAAGGTTTCTTACAGCCAAAGGGAAAAGCATGTGAAATGGAGGAGACCAGGCACAAGCTTCCAAGAGCCCTCTCCCAGTAGTCACTCAGGATGTGCTTAATTCCTCCAGTGTTGAATTGTGACTCCATGTGTGAAGTGTTGTGTACTAGGGAAACTCATTAGAGACTTAGT